TTAGGTAATAATGCATCATCATGATGCTTTCTTTTTCCAACATTTATTATTTTTCTTTCTTCTTGGTAAATTTCATAGGTAATCTTTTCTTCTCTTAGATAAGCTTCCAGTGTCTGAGTATCATTTATTTTGAAAATGTAAGGTGCTATTTTTTCGCCTTGTTCTTTCTTCAAAATACTTCTGATAGTACTATAATTCTTGGGTTCCATAGTAGATCTGATATAAATTAACTTCATATTAATTATTTTTATATAGGGATAGTTCTATATATCACTTAAGATAACAAATAGGATATTATAAAACTGTTAATTGTAATTACATTAATCACCTTACAAATGACTAAATTTTGATCCCTGAAATCATCGGTAATACCAATGTTCACTTTGTCTGGTTTTGTTGCAGTATTCCCCATTTATATCATTTACATATTTAGAGACAACAAAGGTTCAAAAATAGTAGCCTCATATTAATATTATCTAGCAGTTAATAAAATTTCTATTACAATGTTGCTTAATTGGAAAAATAGATTTTTTTCCATTCCTAGATATAGTTATTAGCCTTAGCATTTTAAAGGTCAGCTATTTTTGATAACCTGTACTTTTTTTTATAAATTTTCCCGTAGTTTAATATCCGGCCTTAACCGGCCTTGGAACCGAACCGGACCAGTACATTAAACCCCAAAATCCGAAACGCACTATGTATGGGTTATACATAAAAAAAAATTTTTTTAAATTGAATTGATAATTATCCAAACACTATAAATAAAAAAATCTTTTACCCTCACTTTACTTCTATATATATGTTATATGATGGCACTTGCACAAAGACTTACTTTTGCCTCTGTTAATCGTACCTCTATCAATGCACCTTACTCTTCTGTTGCAATAAGACAACTTTTTGAAAAATCAAGTCTTGGTAGTAGTGGTGGTTTGAAAGTTAAATCTTCTCCCTCATGGGCTATTGGAGCGAAAAGAAATGCTGATGGATCCATAGCTTCAAAAACCATCATAAATGGTAAAAAGGAATATTTTTTTTTTAAATTTCAAATATATAAATATATATAGCATTAGATTAGATTATATTTACACACACATAAACATATATATAGGACCTCCATCAACAGGATATTATCATAGAAGATTATCAACAGCTGCAGCAGTAGACTCATCCAAATCCACAGCAATTCCAGATTTTTCTGCGTATAAAAAACAAAATGATGATCAAGATAGTAGTAGAGTATTTTCTTACATGATAGTTGGTTCAACTGGGGTATTGACAGCAGTTGGAGCCAAATCATTTGTGACAGATTTTTTGGCTAATATGAGTGCAGCAGCTGATGTGTTGGCTCTAGCAAAAGTTGAAGTGGATTTATCAAAAATTCCTGAGGGTAAAAATTTTACCGTAAAATGGCGTGGCAAACCAGTATTTATTAGACATAGAACACCGCATGAAATTGAAGAAGCAAACTCTGTTCAATTGACTGAACTCGTAGACCCTCAACTTGATTCTCAACGTACAAAAAAACCCGAATGGTTGGTAATGCTTGTAAGTATACTTACCTACTAAATAAATTTAGAAAATAATTATTTATTAATTTATTTTTACTAATAATTATTAGGGAGTGTGCACTCACTTAGGTAAAATGCAGATAATATATTATCTATTATTATTTATTATTTTTAAAAAAACAAAATTTTAATCTTATTAATTAATAATTAATTAAAAGGCTGTGTACCAATTGGAGAAGCAGGTGATTTTGGTGGATGGTATTGTCCGTGTCATGGATCTCATTATGATATATCTGGCAGAATTAGAAAAGGACCTGCTCCACTTAATCTTGAAGTTCCTAACTATGATTTCGCAGATGAAACCACACTAGTAATTGGTTAACAAGCAAAAAATAATGAAATAAAATATAATACAAAAAATATTTATTTTTTTAATAATAATAATAATATTTTGTTTGATAGATTAAAAAATCCTTCTTTTTTTTTTTGAATTCTAATATATTTAATTATTATTTGTTATATAATTGTTGCTGATATTGTTTAATAAAAAGAAAGGTTCAGGATACTTATCAATCGATATATAATATGATGATAGAGTGGAATCTTAAAAGATTGCTTTCAATTAAACGTTATCACGTGGTTGATAATGTATAACATGTGACATACATGTCATGATTTTTTATTCTTGTAAATTTTCATGGTAGTATTTCACCATAACAATAATAACTAAACATTATTATTATATTATTTTGTCATAAATGTTTATGTTAACAAGAAAGAAATAATAAAGCGGGTGGCCCAAAAAGAATGTAAAAGTTGATGATTTGAATCCATTGGTGTAACATTTTAATCATATTAGTATTGGTTAGTATTCAATTAATGGTAATAGTCTAGACCAAACCTTATTGGTATGGGCAACTTTTTATCATCAACTATATAATGAAGTTTTATGTACGTCAATCTCACTAATAAATCTAACAAATCTCGCGCGCCTTTTTTAATCAAGTTACACTAACATCGACACGTGTTCATCTATCATCATCTGTCGTCATCATTTTTAATATTAATATAAATTCCCACCAAAAAAAAGTTTAAAATTTATACTACACTCATTACTAAACATGTCTTTTCGACAACGTAAAGTTTGGTCAATTGCGAATACAGGAACATTTGATAATCTTAAGCTTGAAGAAGATCAATTGCCGCCGCCACCACCTCAACATCTTTTAATAAAAGTTACAGCCATTGGATTGAATTTTGCAGATATATTTGCCATATTTGGACTTTATTCAGCAACTCCCAAAGAAAAATTTGTTCCCGGTTTAGAGTTTGCAGGTGTTGTTGAGGGTGTAGGTAAATTTATTGTTTCTATTTTTTGGGGCGAGAGAGTGAAGGTGAGAATGGGGGTTTTTTTTTAAAAAAAAATTAAAACCAATTATTTTATTTTACTATAAAAAATAAAAGGAGAAGGATTACAAGAATTAGAATGGTTGGGTAAAAGAGTTTACGGAGCTACGAAATTTGGTGGTTATGCTACATGGATTAATCAAAGAGTTGAATATGTTAAAAATACACCAGACGATTGGACAGATCAACAAGCTTGTGCTTATGTGGTAAATATTATTGTTATTATTATTATTTTAGAAAGAAAGAAAAAAGCAAACTAAAGTAAGATATTTATATCCACGCGTTTATATACACACTCTCTCATTTTACACAAATATGCATGTATAGGTTCAAGCGATGACAGCTTATTATGCAATAGAAGAACTTGGATCACGCAAAGAGAATAAAGTAGTGTTAGTACATTCAGCAGCAGGAGGTGTCGGATCACATGCATTGTCTATACTTGATAAAATATCGGCAAAAGCTGTTGGTACAGTTGGAAATGTGGAGAAATTGGATTTATTGAATCAGAAGTATGGTGACAATCCGAATTTTGCATTTATTCTTCGTTCTCCAGCTAAAACTTTTGAGAAAAGATCCAGAGAAGCATTAAATAAAATATGCAATAGTAGCAGTGATGATGGTGGCGAAGTTGGCGGATTTGATTTGGTGTTAGATAGTGTTATGGGAGAATGGTTTTGGCCCAATTATAGGTTGATGGATAAAGAGGGTAGATTAATATTGATAGGTGCAGCAAATTTTACTCCTACAGGAAATCTGCATTTTCTTTGGAATGTTGTTGAATGGGTGAAATTAGGGTGGAAGTTTATTTGGAGACCAAAAATAGACCCAATGGAACTTGGTCAAGACAATAAAGGGGTAAATATATTTTTGATAATAACTAATTACAATTGGTTGATTGCAATAATCTTATATTATATATATTACATTATATTAGATTTTTGGATTCAATTTAATCCATATTTATGATAGACCTGAACGATTAAATGCAATTTTTGAAGGGCTTCAACAATTAGATTTGGAACCGCCATTTGTAGGACATGAATTTGAATTTGAACAAGTTATTGATGCATTAAAACTTTTACAATCTGGCAAAAGTGTTGGCAAAGTTGTTGTTAATGTTAAACATTAATGATTAAAATATTTAAAATTTATATTGTTTATTTATATACTGCTTATATCGTAGTTTTATTATAATTTTATTAATATTTACATCTGCATTTGCATTTGCATTTACATTATTTTCTTAACTTTTTTCTATATTTGAATTTAAATTTATATAAAAATCTAAATAAATTTATTATTTAGTTTGTTGAAATATAAATAAATCTTTATTGTTAAAAGTCCCTTATGAGTGTAATATAAATCTATTCGTTTCAATAAATAATATATAATCATTTGTATATATATCATTTATTGAAAATTATTATTATTAAAAGAAACCCTTCCCTCCTAGAAAAAAATTTTAAAAATGATATTTACAAAGAAAAAAAAAACTTAAAAATTAAAAATTAAAAATAGAAAGGATTTAATAATTTTCGATAAAATAGGTAGTAATTTGAAGTGGTTTTGAATTAAAGAAATTATTTTCATAATGATGATTATTAAATGATATGTTTCTTTCTTGTTCATGATTTTCATACTGTTGATAATTTCTTTGTAAATCATTACCGCGATAATTTTTGTAATAATTATTTTGATGATTATAATGATTATGCAAATTGTTAAAATTATCTGGAAAAGTGAATTTTCGTTGGTTATTATTATTGTTGATATAATTATTAATCGTAGTATGATTATTAAAAAAAGATTCGCATGGTGAATAACGTAAGCCTTTACACATGATTTTTTCTTCAGTTATTTTTTGATACTGATGATGTGAATATTGATTAACATTATTAACATTATTGTTGTAGTTTTGATGATATTGTTGAGTTGAATTGTCGTCAGAGCAAGTATTGGAATTATTAGAATCGCTATAATTATTATGAAAATAGCAATAAAAATTTTTTGATGGTGTAGGTGGTGATAATAATAACGGAGTGGAAGAAGACGTTGGCGGGGATGATGATGATATTAATGGTGGTGTTGACGGAGAATATATTAAATTATTTGATCCAAAGATAGGTGTTGTAGGACCACTATTAATGGTACTACGATTCGACAAAGAGGAAACCGGCGAGGGTGGTAATGGAATGAAACTATCATCATCGACTTTCGATATATTGTTATTATTATTGTTATTATAATTATCACTAATGTTATTATTACTGTTACTATTATCATTCTTACTATTATTGTCGTTGGTACTTTTCAAAATTGTGTGCCAAATGATTGGACGTTCATTTTTTTGTTGAGATAAAACATGAGATTGTCGATGATGTTTAGTAAGATTTGTTTTACGACAAAAACTAATTGATATAATAATATAATCAATGTATTTAAAATTTTTTAACACCCACAATTACCATTATTCATTCAACCAACATTCAACATTCAACATACCTTTTACCACATCCTTCAAGTTCACATTTATAAGGACGTTTACCGGTATGTATTCTTCTATGACGAGCCAATGAACTACTGTCACTAAATGATTTTTTACAGTCTGGATTTTCACAAACATGTGGTCTTTCACCCGAATGGGTTCTTGAATGTACTGTAAGAGCAGAGCGCTAAATAGATAAATAAATAAATATATATATGTTAAATTTAATAATTATCACGTGATCACGCGATTTTGTGACATATAAACACGTGAAGTTGTTATTATATAAATTATGCACCTGAATAAAACTCTTTCCACATCCAGGTTCAGTACAAGAAAATGGACTAAATAATAACAATGACAACAATGATAATAAATATTGATGATGTAAAACAATTGTGAATGAATGGATTATATTAATTGAAAAAATAACCGAAAAAATATTATTTTAGATATACCGTTCATTAGTATGAATCCTTTCATGTCTTGCAAGATCTGATCTCCTAGAAAAAGCCTTGTTACAACCTTCCCAATTACAACAAAAAGGACGAGTTTCGCCATTATACAATTCTGTATGAATAAGTTCTAGAATATCCATAATTAATTTTTTATTTCCTCTTCTTTTTTAGTTGGTAATACCAATAATAATTGTTAAGATAGATATATTATTATTTTACAATGAAGCGAAACGCGTATATAATGAAACCAAAAAAAGACTATATTACTATTATCCAACACGCGAAAGATTAATTCAATAATATTAGTATTAGGTAAATACGTGGGAATTATCAATCGTATATATAATATGTTGTGTGTGAGAAAATTTTTTCCACATACAAACATATATATTTATATAAAAAATTTACCTGATGTAAAAAATTTTTGATTATAGAATATGTTATTTTCCTTCCTTTTTTTTTGATAATTTTTTGTAGGAAAATAAGAAAAGTGAAGTTAGAAAATTAAAAAAAAAATTTTTGCTATAAATTTTTGATTTGTGTACACATATATATTATATATGTTGTGTTTTGTGTATTTGAAATATTTAAATATTTTGAGCAAAAAATTGTTTTGCAGTTAAGTTCGAGTATAACAATAATAATTAATATTATTGCTTAGAAAAAAAGAAAGTAAAGAAAGAGAAGAAAGTGAAGCGAAGGAATAAATAAATTGAGGAAAGGAATGAAGATAACAAAAAATATATTATTCATAAAAATATTTATAAAATATTTATATATAATATTATATATATAGTATGTTGAGTAGTGTGTGTAATAAATAAAGAAGAGAGAATTAAAAAAATTTAAAAAAAAAAAGATGATGATCGTTGAACAATCTTGCAATCTTTTTTCGAGATGATTAGTTAATATCTTAATATCATATATTGGCACATATAAATAAACAGTTATTTTTTATTTGTTTGTAGCACTAATCTTCTAATTTTTTTTGAAAAACATAAAAATCTCTAAAATTGGAAATCAATATATATATATATATAATATAATAATATAATGTAATGTATTGTTTTTGTTAAAAAACGCGTATTATTATTATTATTATTGTTTTTTAAAGATTTTTATTTAAAAAAGTTCAAGACCAAAATTCAAAAAAATTCAACCTTCGTCTATTTTATATGAAAAAATTTCATTTTAAAAAACAACACGTATTTATTCTATTAATATATATTATATTATATAATACGTATGCAGTTTAAATTCAAAATGCTTACCAAATAAATCCTTATATAATATAGTATAAAAAGATCTTCATAAAACAATGTAATAAATGTCGATCAATTGAGAAATAAAAACACGACATATAAATTGATAATTTGGTTGTTATTATATGCCAAAAATTTAATTATATATATATGTATATATTATAAAAATTTATAAAAAGTAAAAATCAGTAAAGACATTTTAAACATATTAACTATATATCTTTGCACTGCATATATTTATAATCACTTACGAGAATTTGAAAATTAAATTTTTACGATTTTTAAATTTTAAAAAAAATTTTTTTTAAAAGATAGTAAAAACAATAAATTAATATTAGGAAAATGAATAGAAGAAGAAAATCTCACAATTAAACCTATTTGGATTATTATAATAATAACGATATATAAAGATTATGAATAAAACTTTTTCGAGAATTTTAAAGGAAACCGAGGGGAAAAAATACAATTTAGCTCGGTTTGGCTATCTTTGTTATTTATTTAATCATTTATCCGTTCATTAAAATTGAAATGAATCTATAATAAATAAAATTTTAAATTTATATTATTATCACTCCATTAAAAAATCACTCATCGACTGGTTCTTTCTTTATACCATCTATCTATTGAAAACAAGATTCTTTTAAAAGGAATAAGATCGACTAAGAAATTTTTTTTTGTATTCATTTTTAAACTTTCTTCTTTGATTTCTTGGGTAAATTTATAATAATATATATATAAAAATTGGCAAGTTAAAGAACGATAATGAAATTTCTATATTAAGACCTTGTGATCAATAGTTAAAGCGATAAGGAAAGATACTTCTTGATTGTTTGGCGTTGGTTTGTTCTTTTTCCGGATAATTGATCAATTGATTAATTGAGTGTTATTTATTTACTAACTATTGTTTATTTTATTTAACCTTAATTATCATTACCTTATCACTGTTTGCTTATGTTGGCTTTGTTACTTTCTTGGCAGATTGAATGGGGAAGTAAAACTAGGAATATTATATTTATAAATCAAACAAGAATTGACTGATCTATTAACCTTGTTAATCAAAATTTAAATTATCCATTAATTAGAGCAACATATCGGCTACAAAACCCCATCGCAACCATTTAAGCAAACAAAACAAAAGTCAAAAGTTGTCATGTGACTAATTATCGGGTATGATGTTTCCATACTAACAAATAAAGAAAATTCATCAATTGATGGTGGTCAATGAATTCTGAACATTTGGTGGAGATTATTAATCGTGTTGAGATATCAAAAGTTATTTGGAAGATATGAAGAAATTATGATGAGACAATTCAAAAGAGCTCCAACACCTATATATATAACTATTGATAACAATAACGTCCAATTCAACAGCACAGTACTTTACCAAAAACTCTGATATACCTTATTTGAGAGAAGGAGAGGATGGCGTCGTCAGCGTTAGAAGTCAAACTGCATTAACATCAATTTCCATGAATCTAACACTTGTAAAGTCATCATCATCCATTAATGTGTCTATCAACAAAGAAAACTTCAATGATGGAATCTAAAAGCAATGTCCTTCTGCCAACAACAACAAGCCTGCGTTAAGAAAAAGATCTACTGATGACACTAAATCTGGCCCAAAAAACCATCATCAACAAAACTTTAGATGCTGAAAGTTATGTGATCCTTCCTTCCTTTCTACAACAATATAATTCATTTTATGACAACAATAATAGTCTTTTAGAAGATTTATCATTATTAGATGAACACATGTTAAAAGAAAGTGTGTGCATAACAAAAGTAAATTAATTGTAAAACTACTGGTGTATCTTCATCTTCGACAACATTGGAGTGTGGTTTTAGTTAGTGATGGGCATAAAAATTATCTTTAAAATGATCAAGTTATTAAGTAGTTAGTAACTCTATTAGTGACTTTTAAGTGTTAAAAAACACAAACCTGAAGAACTTTTATGGACAATAAATTTTTGCAAAATAACAATAGAGCTTCCAAATTAGGAAAGACCCGTCTGTATATAGGGTTAATAACTCTTGCTCAGAATGAAATAGTTAATAAATGGTTAATAACTAATTAATAACTTGGAATTATTAAGTGTATGGTTAAAAATTCCCATCACTAGTTTTAGTTGAATGTTTCCGAAATTTGGTTGGTTGGATTTGTGGTGTAGCTACAATTTTTTTCTTCGGGTGATGATCTTAAAGCTTTTATTACCACTATTGTACCATTTACAATCAAATGATATTTATACCAAGTATTACGATACTTGAACCATGCGTACCATAATTTTTATTAACAAAATAAATAGTGAAGAATATATACAGTATAGTGGTTTCTAAAATTAGGATGCAGAATTAAACATCTTGGACGTCAAATTAACAAATTGCCTAACATCCTTACCCAATATCCAATCAGTCAGTATTCAAGGATCCCATATTAATAATTCTTGTCTCCTTTTCATGTTGTCCCAATGTCCAATGTTTATTCCAATACCATATGATTTTAGACAATTTATTAAATAAAATAAATAAAATTCGACGGTCTAATTACCTAACAACTAAATCGTATCATCAGCTGATAAGACCGTGGCTTCCGCTCGTGCGTGTACGCAACTAGGTACTCATATTTAGCCCCTACAAACCATATTTATTTAAAAATATGGTTCAAAATTATTATCCCTTGTTGGAGATAATAAATAAGCGTTATGAGATGTATCGTTTTCATTTGTTTTGATGTTGTGTTGTCAGTGTAGTGGGTATTGATGCAGCGCTGGTATTTTAGCAAAAAAGTTTTTACATTTTATGAATTAAAACTTTTATTAGACATTGTTTCACAACCTCATGGATCTAAATTTAGCAACAAAAGAAACAGGCACTTGGAACGGGACCCCAGAAACTTCCAGACAATTTCGTAATTTTTATAAATTTACGATCAGAACAACAAATTTTTTTTTTAACCTGCCCATTATTAAGTTTTATTATTAAATTTTTTACGAAAATAATACATAACTCCTTTAGGAGTAACATGTGCATATAATTTACCACATTACAATCATTTAAATAATCAATTTCAATGCGAACATATGAATAATAATAATGTATCAATTCATGACTAACTCTAATGAATTAATTTTGAAATATTTGCACGTCCAATATTAAAACTCAAATTAACAAACACTATATTCTACTTCACAATCATCATTATCTTATTAATATTATAATCTACTTTAATATTTTCCTTGACATTGATATCCTCATCAGCATTATTGTCGAAAAAATCGAAATCGCGTTTTTGTGTTAAATTTATATTATTGCTAGATAAGCTTGGTCTATTACAATTTTATTTTGTATCATTTTTGCTCTTCAAGATATATATGATAAAATTAAAGCCTTTTTCCCTTTATAATTGGCGATCAAACAAGGTTCATGCAAAGCTATTAGAAACCCACTTTTTATTGCCTTAAATGGAAAGATAATCTTAAAAATTAAAATTCAAAGGTTTTTGAGTTGAGTTCTAACCATTTAAGGAATATGATTGCCCGGGGTCCTGTATGCAGGCAGGGTTTAATATTGATTTTCCGGTTAAAAACCGGTTTACCAGAATTTTGAATAATAATAATAATAATAATAATAATATATTAATTTATCTAAAATGCTAATATTTTAAAAAATAAAATGTGTCCCAAATCATCATCTTCTAATTCAATCATCACGAACATGTTTAAATGATAAATTTCAATTATTTATTTTAATTAAAATTTTTGCAACATTTGAAAAAGGAATTCATTAAAAATATTTATACTGGGATAAAATTGAGAATTCTATAAATTACACGACGAAAATTCTCTGTAGATAAATTGATGTAGTTTGCCAAAATGGTTGCTTTAAAATGATATCATTCCTTGTCGGTATTTATGTTATATAGATCAATATTTAGTTCAGTAGAATCTTTACCTGCGGTAATTCTTCTTTACCAAAATCATCATTTACACTAACATTTTGGTGGTCATTCTGATATATTGAAACTTAAAAGATGACGATTTGGAAATGATTTTCAAGTTCTAAATCAATATCATTACCATAAAAAATTATAGCACATGGGTGTTTTGGGCAGTGTTTTAATTCGTCATCTTCATCAAAGCTAACTTTGAAGTATTTTTATCATTAATTATAGTTGCATCATCAATTATATTATATATAGTCATCATCGCATTGACCATTTAAAGAATTTAAAAATATCCTCTGGTCAAAAAAGGCTGGATCTTCAACCCTGTCTATTACCATGGGGAATATGAGAAAATTATCTATGAGTAAGGCCCATAATAATAACATTCGAATATTCAAATATATGAACCCTTTCCCAATAAACTGACCTTAATATTAATAAAATAACCATTAAACATAGATTAATTGATTCAACAGATCGACTAATTGTATATGTTCTTAATATTGAGCTTGATTATAACGGAAACAGAGTTTTTATTAAATTTAATGATTTAAATTCAAAAACAAAACTAATCAAGCTAGATTTATAGCAGTGGTGATGAGACGTTATCAGGTCGTGATGGTTGTGTAGCTCTTTCCATTTATCACAAACGTTTGAGAAGAAATAAAATTAGTGAATCAATAAATTCATAATCTTATTCCAAGTTCTACAATTCATCAACCTTCAACCGTTGTTGAATTGACATCTTTTTTTTTTTTGGTTTATAATAATAAATTTTAAACATCTCAATATCATAATGATTGGTAAATCTTTAACTTATCCTATATATTATTATCGTAGAAATATAATATAAAAGAAAGTTTTAATAACTTATTTTAAGATTTATTTTTAATAAAAATTTTCTTGAGGTAAGGGTATACTACGACAAAACCAGGCAAAGTGACAGGACAAAAAAACTGCAATGCGATGATATCCTTTTTCAAGACTATCCCTAATATCACAATGACTGAAAAAAAGCATATGATTGATCAAATTCGTAATTTTTTGACTAAACACAAAAAGTTCATGGGCCAATGAAAAATTCATAAACTTTCCCAAAAATTTGACAGAGGAAGAAATTGAAGAGGTTCAGAAAGCCATCCGCCTTTTGGAACTTATTCCGATTACTTGAGATGCTAAGTTGAAATTTTGTTGCCATTTTTTATATAGGTTCTTTAAATGCAAAATCCTATAATGACATGCTCTATGCACCATCTGTCTTCTGCAAATGTCAGTCTAATGCGCTTTTCAATGTTGACTCCACTCAATCGAGGAGAGCTGACAAAATTCAATTTGAAAGGTGATAAATCTTGGAACGAAGTACCAAAGGAACTCGATCGTATCCTAAACAATCTGTCAGAAGTGTATAGGGCCTTGGATCAGGTGGTTAAAAGTTCCTTTTTTCACTGATCTTCATGAAATGTCTTCATGTAAAGATCCTGCAGGGGACCATTATTGACATGCGCTTGGCTAAAGTTAAAGATGAGAGAGAACCTCAATTAGTTGCAGACTAGTCGTAATTAATTGAGATGCCATCTTTAGTTGAAATCACAATATTCAAAAAGGCAAAGAGTATCATATCAGTATCTTTCTGCGTATTCTGAACTTTATTTCAAAACAACTCCAATTTCAACTGATTGAAATAGGGATGTCGCTTGACTATTTAATCGCTAACCGAAACGAAGAACAACTGCCAGTAAAGATACTCACTTTATGGTTATTAAAGTGAGTTTTTTGGGAATGGATTGGCGCAGGCTTTAGGAAAATAAAGAGTATGTCATCTTATTTTTTACTATTTACAGTTATTCATATCTATGAGAATTGTGGATCCAACATCTAAATTCTTAGAGAAGTGTTTTTCTAGAATCACTGGACTCTTCCCCTTCTAATTCAACAATGCATGCCTTTAAGTCAGCTTCAGCCTCAGGATATTTTGCTTTTATTCCTAAATTATTACCAATTCGTCTTCTTTTTTTTTCTTTTACTAAATCGAGTTCTTCCTCTTTTTATTTTGCCAACGAGAAATCATTGAAGGATCGATAGTAAAATGACGCCCAGCTGGTATTAAACCATATTGATTGCATATTGTAAAACTTGGGCTTTTCAGAAACAGAATGTGAAGAATGTTTGACTTTTGGCATTGCTGTGGGGAAAAATGAACAAATGATAAGAAAACATAATGTAACGCGAACAAAATGTCTCGAGTATAAGCACCACCTACAGTTTTATTGACTGACATGTCAGAATTGTGTTGCTTATATTCCAGACAATACGGTATATATATATTACTTCATATATACAGTTTACATAACAATGTTGAATCATCAACGTAAGTATAAGTTTCTAAGCCTTTGTATCAATGATTCAATCAAATATACACTTTGGAATCAATGGATGCCTGAACAATTTATTAATAATCTATATAATCATTATTACTTCAAATTTTGCTCGTTTATTCTTAATTTTAATGATTTCCGGCTAATTTCAAAGATTTTTCTAATGAAATTGGTTCAATAATACTAACCCTGCATGCAAATTTATGAAGAACGTTTTTAGCTTAGCCGATGTTTTTGGTGTGACTTATTCTAAAAAAAATTCAATTAGCATTTAATTGATAATTTACAAGTAGATAGACCGTGAACAAGAACAGAGAATGAACGACTTAAAAAAAAAAAAAATGAGACAATAATTTTAAAGCAGGAAATTTAAAATTTTAAAAGAATCATTGAATACTAAAGTCAAGTGAAGAACAAAGAAAGAGGAAACCCAAAATAAAATCTGCAACGCCAGAAAAAAGATAAGGAAAATTATGAGTGTTTTATTAATTGAGGGGAAGAAACAAATACATAAGCCAATTAGAGATGGTAATTAAGCTTGGAGATAAAAGACATTTATATAGATGGATAAAATATTTAATATTAAGTGATAATAAGGAAAATAACCCCAAAAATTAAAAAAGCTACAAAATCAAGTTAATATTAAAGAGTTAGAAAAACAAAACCTGACAACAAAACATTATTCAAAGTCTTGTGAAAAGAAAAATCCAATGCTGCCCAGGCTGAAACAAAACAAATTGGATGAAACCAAAGTCAAAACTCAAAGTGAAAAGAAGAAACTTGTGCAATTTGATCCCTGTAATTTCCTGTGACATAATGTTCGCTTTATTTTGCATATGCCAAATGATTCCAAATGATCCAATGTCTCACACATGTTCTATTGTAAACAATCACTTACTATTTCTAAAATTTGAGCCCCTGATTTTGCTTTTTTTGTATGTGTGAGAATTTGTTGAACATATTTATAAAAAAAAATTTTCAATTCTTTTATATCTTAAAAAATAAAAAACCATTCAAGGATGACTAGTACTAAAAAAATAGGAACGCTTGTGATTGTAGCTTTAAAAGCTGTAGGTTTTGTTATAATTATGATAAAAAATATAGAATTCTATTTTTATTTATTATCTTTGTATTCTTGTAAAAATAGAGGAATTTAGCAGCTCGTGAAGTGTTTGGTAAAGGAGATCCTTATGCTACATTTCGTATAAGCGACAAGGAAGAAAGAATTCCTGCAGATAAAAGAGGAGGTCAGCATCCAATTTGGGATAAAGAAGTGCGTTTTGATATTCTTGAAACGTCATCTCATAAAAAGATGATAGTTAAAGTTTATAATGAAGATAAAAGAGATCCTCAACTTATTGGTGATAGAACTATTGATCTAAATGAAGTTTTAACCAAGGGTGAATGGGATGGTAACTATTAAAATTATCATTCGCAAGCATTTACTTTTTGTTAAACAATTAATTAATTTATTTATTTATTGTTAATGATTAGAATGGCATGAACTTAAATATGGTAGTAAATATGCAGGAGAAGTTTTTCTTGAAATGACATTTTATGCAGTAGGTGGAGCAGGGATTCCTCTACAACGAAAAAAACTACCCTCAAGACCAAAATCTGAATCGCCTGTTTCATCGCCGCCACCTGCTTCTTTTATTGCTCCTGCTGCTGTTGCTTCTACCACGTCAGCGCCAGCTACTTTTGTACCCCCAAATGCATATCCACCTCCAGTAAATACCAACAATAGTAACCAATTTATTCCTCCAATAAATGCCAACAACAGTAACCAATATCCACCTCCAGTCAACAATAATAACCAATATCCACCTCCAATCAATGCCAACAACAGTAACCAATATCCACTTTCAATCAATAATAGTAACCAATATCCACCTCCAATCAATGCCAACAACAGTAACCAATATCCACCTCCACTTTCAGTCAATAATAGTGGTCAATTCAATAGCATTCCTCCAATAAATAACAACAATAGTGGTCAATTAAATAGCATTCCTCCAATCAATAACAACAATAGTGGTCAATATGCTCAAATCGTAAACCCAACAGCCTATCCACCTCAAAATATTTATCCACCAATTAACCCATTAATGTCACCACAACAAAATTCAGCAAGCTTTTTTCCGCCACCACCTATTCAACAAGGTTATCCTCCATCAAATAATAATTTTGGTGGTGGATATCCTTTAGTTTCTTCACTACCACCTTCAAATGATCCATCATTATCTGTATCATTTCCTATTCCTATTCCTACTCCTACTCCAAGTGTTAGTGTTCCAAACTATGCATATCCACCGCAAAATAATTTAGGATCAGGTTACCCACCACAAAAAAACTAAAATTTTTTTAATTTTAATTACTATTTATTATTATTATTATTATTATTATTATTATCATCATTATCATCATTATTATTATTTTATTATTTTGTAAATTATTATTCATATTATAGATAAAAATATAATATCATCGATTATTATTTTTCTCTCTTTATTTCTAAATATTATTATCATCTATGTATCTTTATCCCCAAGGCAAACTATTAAAAAATAAAGTAATTTAACAAAGATGAAGAGTTTAGACGATATGAATAACTATTATTATTAAAAATATCAATTATTTATGATAATAAATAACTCCCAAAAAGGAGTTAATACTTCCTATATATTACCGGAAATTCCTAATTTTTTGACTAGCTCTTCCAATTTTTACCGGAATTTTGAATTCTAAATTGGAAAAACCTGCAAAATTCAAGTACATTTGCTCCCTGGTCACAGGACACTGCGGATCTACAGGGGGTCAAGTGTCACTCATTACTATAGTACTTTAAAAATCCGATTTTCCTTTTAAAATTTTTAACTTCCGGAGAAAAAAAGAGTTGCCGGATATTTTTCCTTTTTTTTTATATTTTTTTTTTGTATATACAATTTTCAATATTTTAGGAAAGAACAGCCAGAATCACAATTTGTATCTTTTGAATTTTCAGAAGAAAAGTATTGACCCAATTTAAATATTTATTTCAAAAAGACTGCTATTAAATTAAAAATATACATGTATACATTTTATAAATTTACGTGTTTTATTTTATAAATAAATAGTATAGAACAAGAAGAATTAGATAACTTGACTACTGAAATTTGGGATGAAGCATTTATAGATGAAACAAATATTGATGAATCAGATATAGAAGATTCAGATGATTTGACAATTCAAGGTTCAGGTGATGATGATACTTCAAAAAAATCAAATAAAAAAAGAAAAAATTGTGAATTAAGTGTAAACCATGTTAAAATGTCAAATAAAAAAGTACATTTTAAAAAATTAGGAGGAAGTTTTCAGCATAAATGGTTAAGCATATATAAATGGTTAAAATATGATACAGCAACAAAGAAATGTTTTGCACAATTTGTAAAGCACATGGAAAAAAAATCAATTTGCAGGAAAAGGTGGCAAATCAATATAATTAATTAATTTTGCATTTTGCAATTATTAATTTACTAATGTTATGATGTTAATATTTAGGATCAAAGAATGTTTCAAAATCTATTGCTCTAGCAACTCATGCACTTTCAAACCAACATAAAGATGCTTTGCTTCTAGAAAAGGCAAGAATAACTATGCAAGAGTCTTCCAAAAAAGCCATTAGTAATGATAACAAACATATAATTAATATAATGAAAAAGATTTACTGGATGGTAAAAGAAAATATTCCAATTTCTAAATTTCCAAGTCTTATTAATCTTGGTCATGCTCTTCAAGTTCCTGATCTATTTTCTTTAAATAATACTATTACATATGAAAATAACAAATCTGGACAAGAGTTATTAAAATCAATATCTGAATCTATTGAACTAGTTATTTGGAATGAATTGAAAAATTGTAGAGCATTTGGAGTTATGGTTGATGAAAGTACTGATATTTCCACAAATCCACATTTTATTATATATGTTAAGTATTGTTATAATGGAATTGTTAAAGTATGCTATCTTAAGCTTTTGCAAGTGGAATAATCAAATGCTATAACACTCTATAATGCTATAATCAATCTTTTTGATAAAAATAGTTAGTTGTTTAACATTTATAATTCAATTCTATTATAATATTTTTCTATAGTTTAAATTAAAAGAATAATGTTTATATTTATAGGTATTGTTAAAAAATTTGTTCATTTGCTTCAGATGGAGCAAGTATAATGATGGGAAAAAATACGGGTGTAGCTATATACAAGAATTGCACAAATCAATCCTTTTCTTTATATTACACATTGCATTGCTCATAGATTATCATTGGCATGTGAGGATGCTCAAGAACAAGTTGAATTCTGTAAAAAACATAGAATCTGTCATGAAGAAGGTTTATTTATTTTTTAGCAAATCAAGCAAACATTGTGATTTATTGAAACATTATCAAAAATTTTAGATTAAAAGTTAAACAGATCTATGATACTTGTTGGTTGTCCTGGTATGATGCTGTCAAAAGTATTTGTTTATCTATTGAACCATTGCTTGATATATACAATTTTTGAAACTTATTCAAATGCAACACCTAAAAAAACCCACCAATATTGAAGCTTTATCAAAAGTTATGTGATTGGAAAATATCAGCATTCCTTTATCTTCTTTACAATATTTTGGGATATTTGTCAGAATTATCAAAAGTTTTTCAAAAACATTTTATAAGATTTTCTGATCTTCAACCCATATTGAGGCTACATTACAAAAAATACAACATGAATATTTAGAAGACAGCCCTAGGTTAGGATATAATTTAAGTGGATTTTTAACAAACACTTCATCAACATCTAATCTTTACATTGGAAACCACAAGCTTACTTTTAATAATGGTTATGAGGATGATTTAATGGTAGACATTTGTGAATTTGCATCATCAATAATCATAGAAATTAAGGAAAGATTTCCAAATCCAAAATTATTATCTGCAATGAAAATTCTTAATCCTCAAGAATGGCCAAAAGACAAGGAATCTTTAATGTTTTATGGTGAATTAGAATTGGAAGAATTAGTTTCAGTTTATGGGAAAAAGTATTTACCAGATTATCCTTTAGGTCTTATAGATTCTGTTGCTGTTCAAGAAGAATGGTTTGGGTTTAAAATAGTAGTACATTCAAATTATCAAGATTTAGCTATAGATGATTTATTTCCTTTATTATATGATAATTATTTAGATAGTTATCCAAATATCTTAAAACTTATGGAAATAGTGTACTCAATTCCATTTTCTAGTGTAGATTGTGAAAGAGATTTTAGCAAACAGAATATTATCAAAACAGATTTATGTAATGCAATGGAAAATGACACATTGCACTTATTAATGATGGTTGGTTTAGAAGGTACTGATTTATTTGGTTATGATTTTAGTGATGCTCTTAGTAAATTTCTTCAAAGTAAAAACAGAAGAATAAATTAAATTTTTAAAAATTTTAGCACCCAAAAAATTCTCCTTTTTTTAAAATTTTCTTCTGGAAAATTTTTAGTATTCAGGAGAAACTTCTGTTTTTTTTCAGACCCTATTTCCAGCCCTGATTGGAAATAAGATTGACAAAAACCTGACTAATGAAATAGTTGTTTTTGTGATCTGCAACAGTGTCCATTATGCTCTTTTTCCTAGGATTACTTTTTCTTTGGCATAGTGGATGTAGCAACTCCTTTTCTATTTCCTTCTCTAAGCAGTCAGCAAAACTCAATTACCATTCTACTAAAGGAGAACCCAAGCTCTGCTTCAAACAGGTGTTTAAAATCCTTCAACATTTTGCATGCATTTTTACTCACCAACTGATTTTTTGATTCAAATTATAGAAAAATTTGGTGGTAAAGTCAAGTATGATTGTGAAAATAAAAAATAATGGCCACACTTCAAATATCTTTAGGAATAAATGAGTAAATTGTGTTGTTTTTATAATAACTCCTAGATCTGTATATCAGACAAATCAATTAAATCAATTAAAGAAATTAAAACAAAGAAAGAAGGTAATGTTTATTTAAAACCAAGTTGCAATGCCTGTGAATTTTTGCTTTGAATGGTTTTATAAAAATAATGTTTTTCTTTATTAATGTTTCATAATTGCATTTTTATACAGGAGCAGTCCTATATCTTAAAAGAACAATTAAATATTTTACACAAGAAATATCAAATCCAGAAATATGGCTTTCTTTCCTTTATATATAGGACTTTTCATATATATTAAGATATATTCTTATTTATTAACTTTTGATGATAAGTTTATATCTACTTCATCAACAATGATGATACCAATACCACCAATTGTAAAGTAAATCTTCATAAACCACAAACAATGATAACACAAAATATTATAATCTTTAGATTGCACAAACCAATAAAATGACACTCAGTTGTTTAAAGATAATATTGTATGTATTGGTTGTGGGTCAAATCAAATTTATGTGTTTGGATACAAAATTCTGATTGGCTAATTTGTGTGAATTTCAGATTTCATAACATTTAATATTAATATAGGTAAAAAATTATATATTTATGATTCAAGAGAGAAATAGTCTATTTTATTAAGAATATACATCTAAAGAAAAAAAAAAGACAAACACCAAAAAAGAAAACAATATTTCTCATTTAAAAAAAAACCACTGTTTAATTTAAATTACTAGAATGGATGAGGCTGAAGAAAATGATAATGTTGCAGGACCTGTTTCTTCAATGATGGATTTATAATAAGGTTCCATCATTACCATGCTGTATATGAATGAATGGCCATTTGACCTTCAGAAGTAGTAAGGTCAACTCTAGGGGTATTTGGCAAGGAGTGGTGTATTACTGATTAAATATAAAAGATACATTTGGGTAAATATCATTAGAGCAAGAGAAAGGTGAAATATTTGTCATCTCAACAATTAATTCCATAAAGAGTAGAAGATATTTCTTTTTGGTGATATCTCTGTAATTGGCACAGATCCTGAATAATTTTTAAGAGTGGAATTCAGAAACTTAATTATATATTAATTTCATTGGCTAAATAATCATGATGCGATGAATGTTTACCAAAAAAATCTTACCTTCACTTCAATAATATCTTCAAAAATGCTGTGATTGAGCTTGTAATAAATCAATTTGATTCACTGGATGCAAAGAAATAGATATTGACAAAAATAATCTAAAGCTGATGATAGTGCAGCCAATTTAGAAATAGAAACATTGCAGATTTTTTCTGAAATCAATTCAAAACCAGGACCAGGACCAGAATCAGAGTCAGAACCAGTTCCAGCATCAATTTAATTCACATTTTCATCTTTTATTACAATCTGTCCTTAGTAATCAGACACCACCAATCAAATTGATAGCTGAGTTAATTGCTGCAAACTCACATTTGTCCAAGAGACCAATAGTATTTGCTGAAATGCATGTTTATCAATTGATTATTAAAGGCTAACTGACATCAGGAAATTAAAATGTACGTAAAACTGTGTAAATCTTACACTTACATAAAAATTATGCAATTTTTGTGTAACTTTTATGCAAATCTCACTTAAAATTTACATATGCATTTAATTTAAAAAATTACACACATAAAATTACACATTTAATTTGTACATGTAAAATTTCACTCATAACTGTTTTGTATAAATTACACATGTAAAATTACACTTGATAATTTTATAAAAAATTTACACACAAAACAAAGATTGCATTCAATAATTTTATCTATACATATTGTCAAAATTAAAAGCCATGTGATGTAATTAACACTATGTGACACATTGACACTGACACAATTTGCATCTTGCATCATATGGCAAGCAAAAAGTTATTTGAATTAAATGTAGAAATTTCCAATGCAGCATTAAGTAAATGGTACTAAGGTTTCTGGTCCAAACTGTTTTCTCAAAGCCCAAACTAGTTTGGGCAATTTGGGCTTCTCAACATTTTTTATAAGAATGAACATTAAAAAAATATATGAATCAACTTAAACAACTTTAAAATAATTTCTCCCAATTTCAGCTAATAACAAAAAGCAGTTTGGGCTTATAAAAAAATAATTTTTGTCCAAAGTATTTGGGCAATTTCAGCTACTAATAGAAGCAGTTTCAGCCAGAAACCTTAAATGGTACATATCATTTTTTCATTTCTTAAAAAATGCTACACAAGTGTTGGAAGTGCTAATCAAATTGGTTGCAGATAATTTCTATATTTGGTTAGCATGAACCATGTGCAGTAATTAAATAAAAAATGTGTGTAGCATTAAATAAAAAATGAAGTGTACTGTTTACTTGATGTTGCATTGGAAATTTCTAGCATTAATTCAAATGATCTTTGTCCATTTTGGTTTTCCATAGCATTAGTCACATAATATTATGATGGGTGATGCAATGTCACTGACACAATTTAATAATTTTGACATGTATAATCAAAAATCAAAACATGAATTTATTAATAAAAAATTGATTATCATCATTAAATCTTGGAACAACATGAACAGTATCAATTATAGTTTGTACAAATACAAAATCATACAAATTTGTTAATTTTAAATGCGGGCATTCATAAACATAAGATTGACTCAATTTAAAATTGGATTTGACATGTGTGGAACTCGAATAAACCAATTGGAATTTTGCATCCAAATATCCCAACATATATTTTGAATTGAAATGATGTTGAAAAACATACTATCAATAAAAATAAAATCTTTAAAAAAAACTACTACAACCATTATTTTTATACCTTAAATTTATATTGGCATCTTTTTCAGTCATTAATCCAAGTTTTTTATTTATTGATAAAAGTAATTCATTAGTTTGATCTTGTTTTTTTGTTAGAATATTAATATTATCCATGATTTTCAGCATGGTTATATTTTTATTTTTTGACAAGTTTGAATTATCTATAAAAAATATATGCAGATATATTATTAACAAGTTTATACAAAGAAAATATGATATAAATTTTAAATGCCTGAAGAAATAATCAACCTAGAGTGTGCCTATTATTGTTGTTGTTGATTTTACTGCTTGTTTCCATTAAACTATCATTAGCATCAGCATCTAATAATATATAATGTTTGATAAATTGATTTTTAATAATTAACAAATTAATTGTTCAAAATAAATTTCCAATATACCAGAATCAATAACATGGAGCTCTAAATTTATAAATGGTGATTATATATCTTTATTCAAAATTAAATATCAGGAATATGCAAAATATATTTTAATATACAAACCTTTTGTTTTAAATCTTTTCTTTATCAATTTTGAAGCATCATGAGCTTATAGAACATTCATTAGATAAAAATTAAACACCTGTCTAATTAAAATTTCAAATCAGGTAATATAATTATCATATAATACTTACATACACCTAAGTTTCTCCTCTTCATATTTTAATTCGTATTTTTTTTTAAAAAAAATTATAACGCGTAAAAATGAAAATGTAACACTATTAATATTAATATGATTGATTGACATGTCGATCACATAACCAACTTAAAAACAAAAAAAACTTTCAACGAATCTATGTATGGGGAGATGACATTATACCAAAATTACTAATTGCTTTTCAATAAATTTTATATGATGAAGTGAGGCTTACTGTATAGTTAGGCCTTTATATATTATATATTTTTTGGTGCTTTATAGATATAACATTAATAATAGTTTGCTTATTTTTAATACATAGGATTTTGAAAGTCAAGGCAAAGATCACTTTCTAAT